GTGATGCATTACCAATCAGTATAGTTAAGAAGCGAATAGAACGAAGCAGGAAATCAGCAAAACGTGTGAGTAAAGTGAGAAAAAAAATGAAATAAATTTGTACAGGGAAATTGTTGAGGTTGCGTCTTCACTTATCATAGAGCGAAATACGGAGATTTCGAATTTTGATGAGATCTAGGGCTAGTGTTATATTCTGGGCTGTGTAACAACACTTAATACCACCGCTTGCAAGACAATCGGAAAAAAGTGGCTCAGCAGTTCAGGCGTTTGTTTGGCTTTATTACATTTCACGCACAACACGAGGCTATACAAAATAAAAAAGAGAAAATGGTTTAGAAGAGAGAAAATTTAAAAACTGATTCTAAACTGAACAACAAAAATAGTATCTACCTGCATTAGGATATGGTTTTTCGCCAGCAGCAGAGTGGCAATTTTAGACAGCTTTCGTACCGATGTACCATTGGCATACGGCAGAATGGCTCGCAAATCGTCAAACGCTTCGTTAAGATCGTGCATTCGGCAGCGCTCACGTAAATTGATATTCAGGCGAACCAATTGATCGGATGAATTAGCGGACGACATCTTAATTTGGATTACACTGGTAGGCTTCGAATTTTCGAAATTTCGCTAATAAAACATCTACAGAGACTCCGTAACGGTCAAGCGCTGCAGTTACGTCAGACAATGGGTGAATTCAAAGAAGCTTGGGGCTTAACCGAAATTCATCAGCTATTCACAGAGGAAAAGAAAGTGAGCATGAAAAATGGTTCTGCCAGCTACCGTATGCGACTAGTCGGAGTGGTTATGTTAACATTTGAGAGAATGCCTCAGTTTGAGTGTTGGCAAGCTAAATCGAATGTGACAGCTTATTATGGATATGAGCAGGCGGGGCATCCATCTGCAGCCGCACTGACGTTTTCTCGAATCATGCTCCTTTCAAATATTCACTCTTTGAAATTCAAACAAAATTCAGAATGTTCAGAGCCGCTTTTGCTCAAAATTTCATGCCTTTTTACTGAATTATGATAGTTTTCACGCTCCACAGCTGAACACGGCACCTTTTGTACACATTTAGTTTTCTTTATATTTGTATCTTCACCATTTTCAGCTGAAAAAGTACCTCATCGTGGCCTCAGAGTGGCGGAATTCGGGATGAAGTGCTGACGATGAACACATGCTAAGAGCGTCATGAAACATCTGTAGCTACTACGTGTGTTTGTACTGAAAGAGGCGTAGAAGTAATTATCCCTTCAGATGAGAAAGCGAAGTTAAATCAGTTTCGAACGCGATATTGGACCACAGTTGTCGTACTGACAAGATCCAATTGTGGGAGCGGTAAGAAATGCGAACGACTTAATGGATCGAAACATTTCTTACCCATTAAAAATATTCCATACTTCCGCTTCCCTTTTCCACTTATCGTTTTTCTTCCCTTCTTCATTTTTTCTACTTCATTTTCTCTTT